TACACGCTAATACTGCTTATACATCGTTTTACTTTATTTCTTTGGATTATCAATATTATCTATTTGTTCTGCAACATTACAATTAAGAATTCTATAAAAAGTTACAACGAACATTTATCACTGAGCTATACTACCAATATTTTTTTGTACTACTTTCGCAAATGCATGCTCACAATTTTTTTGTTTCAGAGCTCAGAATTGGAAAATAACGAAAAGATTCACAAAACAAAATGAAAATGCAAAATAAAGACGGAAATCAAAGGAGTACAAACTCGAATAGAATTTCAACGTAGCTCAACCGCAGTCTAAGATGATTATTTATTATAAAAATGAACATTAAATAAATTTATTTGTCATATTTACAAATTAAATGTTTGATAACTAGAGTTTATAAATATTTATTAAAGTCTTTTTCTGTTTAAGATATTCTTTTAAGAAACTTGAAATTTTCTAATTAAATTCTAATACTTGAGCTTTGAAGCATGAATTAATAAGAATTAATTACATCTTACAATGTTATGAATAGAAAAGTAATATTTGACATGAATATGTAGTAAATACTATTTCAAGCAATATTTATAATTAAAATTTTACATTGCGATTTATACAAGTTAATTATACTTTATGGTTTTATATTTATAGTAAGTCACTGCACAATTTGTAAGCAAATCTGAATAAGATAAAAAATGTCATTAGACTATAATAGCATGGAATTGTGTGCATTTCAGTATTCGTAACGTATCGAATTATCATTTACAAATAAATCTGTCACAGCTGAATAATTTGATTTTAAGTATTAATAGCAGGTATCGGCAGATTTTTCAAATATTTAAAAAAAGTCGTGGATTTTCGAGCACAGAGGTTGAATAAATTCGTAAATCAATACTGCCCCTTTCAATTGGAATTCAAAGGTTCACAAAGAGCGGGAAAGCCCATAAAAGGACGAGAAAGCAATGGGATAGAAGCCAAAGGAGAGAGAAGAAAAGTCTTACGCGGGCAGAGGGAAATAACCAACGAGAGTTAGAGGCCAGGCAACGGCAAAGTTAAGAGAGGGTCGTTTAGAGACCGGTCGAAGATAATTGAAGATTTCCAGTCTGTATTTCTCTTTCTGTCCAGTTTATTTCTCAAGTGCTCAAAAAGGGTCGACGTCGGTAAGCTTACAACGAAGTGGCCGAGACTCTTAGATACGTAAACCTCGATAAACGTCTACGAGTCAGCGGTACACTAAAAAGATATAAGCGATATGGAGGGAGGAGAAGAGCCGACGAGCAAAGGGAAAGCTTGAGAAAGACAGATACAGGAAAATACAAAGTGCATCTTGTGGGTATTTTTTTCTTCCTATAATGATACGAACCATGGAAAAGTAAATCTCTGGACATTTTTGAAGTGGAGGTGAGAGACCGAAATGAGTAGGGAGTTTTTCCTCACCTGAACTTCATTTTTTGTCTTCTGTACGAGGGATCCAAGCGCAAATGAGGCTTCTAGTCTTGTTTAAATACCTCCTTACGGATGCGTAAAAACGAAGTAGATTTCTTTGTGCATTGCGTTCATTTGGTAGTTGGAAAATCTCTCATTTTTAATGTTAGAACGATTTATCGTACAAACCTTTATACAGCGTTCAAAGCACATTTAAAATACCTCCTCGTAGGGATTCGAGTAAACTTGCTGCTTTTTCTCATTTTTTTGATTAATGATGCTTGTGCAACGACAGGCTTCTTTCTTTTCTCGAAAAGTGAACGATGGATTTGTCAATAATTACATTGACGACGTTTTACTAATGTTGCTTTTACAATTTTCATATATGGAATGCCTTACGGTTAATAATATTTGTATAACACGCTGAGTAAAAAGTTCGTCGAATAAATCTAGCTATATACTGTATATAGTATTATTTACATGTTTTTAAATATGAAAATAAAACACAAAGAAAAAGAAAAAGAATCATGAAACGCGGCTGAACGAGGAGAAATTATTTTAACGCAATTAAGGTAGGTTTGCAGTAGCATGACTAAGGCGATAAATGATGTACTTGAAAATAATTGTTTAACGTATCTGGAATATTATTCTTCTATTATATAATTGAAATATTATTTGTATGCTATTTTAATTTATAACGGTTGTAATGTTACTTTATAGAATAGGGTATTGTATAGATGAAAAATAGTAACATTTATACAAAAATATAAATGTTACGAGCGTAAGATGTAATGTTTATAGATATGTGAGCACGAAAAATTGTCCATTAAAAGTACAGTTGAAGCTAATTGCACATCGACATATTTTTCCAAAACAATTATTTTCGCCATCTTAAGAAAGAATAATGCGATATACATTCGCTGATTAAGTTTAGCTCAAGTTGAAAACCAATTTAAAGAGCTCAAACATATGTATAAAAAAAGATTTTTATAGGCGGCTACATAAATTTACCTACGAAACCCTTAGGGGGCCTTCAAATTTGAAATTCAAAAAAACTGTTGGGAAAAAGAAGGGGAAGGAGAATTCTTGGTGGAAGATTAGGCGTGAAGACAAAAAAGCGAGCCTCGAAAAATATTTAGAATAGGAAGAAAAAGGAACTGCTGGTCGCTGACTAGCGGGTCAGGTGGGGCAATGTTCGACTTCAGGCAGGTGCACTCGGTAAAACTTCTGTCTGCTCTTTCTCGCTCTTGAGCGAGTCCAACGGAGAGCCTAGGGAGGAGCCAAGGGGGATGGAAAAACTGCATTCCGAGGCGCGTCGTGGAGCCTGAGACTGAATCTTCCCGCAGCCCGAAGAAAAGCGACGCGAATTTTGAACGAGGCAGCGCAACAGAAAAAGCAGGGAAAAAATCAGTTAGAACGAGCAGTTAGTCGAGTGTGCGCGCGCACGAGCGGGAGAGAGACGAGGCAGAAAGGAAGATTATAGGGACCTGCTTTTACGAAGAGCGACCGAACGAACAAAGAAGTCTTTGGAGTTTATTCGAGGGAAAAAGGAGATGGGGAAGAATCGAGGGGCGAGAAGGAAAAGATTTTTCTTGGAAATAATAAGCCGTGTATGAACACCCAGGAGAAAAACATAGAGGCTGTATATGATGCGATCGGTAGAGGTGAAGAAAGAGAAGCTATGGTCTGTGCATATTGTTCAGGGATACCTACTACTAGTTTCGTCTCAGGTCAATGCGATCATTTCGTGGCCTCGTGAAAGCGATCTTCAAGACTTCTACGGACTTGCTTACCGCCCTTATGCGCCTCAAAAAAATATGGAGCAGGAAAATAAATTAACATTTTTAACAATGTGTGCAAGCCCCGTTGCTTGCATGATCTGGCTCCACAATTTCCAAGGCATAATTTATTCGTAGCCCTCAAATGACGGACTAACTTCACCGTTTAGTGAAATTATAGAAGCATTAATAACATTTTTCCCCAGTCCAAGTTTTACTTCCAATTCAATTTATCGCTCGAACTCGACTCCTCGTCAATTGAACTAACTTCTCCGAATCGTCACATTATTCTAAAGAAAGCTCAAGAATATTTCTTACGTACTTTCTATCATGCAACATTATTCATTGAATAATGCTTTCTCATAATAAATAAACCTTCTACGCAATATTGTCACTTAAGCTTAAGTCACGCGCTTCGAGCATTTTAAGTACTCTAAAGTTTTTCTTTCGTGAACACACGCCTTTTTGTTTGCTCTCATTGAATTACAATATAGTACATTGTACATTCAAGCATTTACGTTACATACATGCAAATATTAATTCTTAATATATTTGTTTATCTTGAAAGATCAAATTTATTAAATAAGCCTTTAAAACTTATGCTTATTATTGATCATTTATTTTTTATGAATACATTTTTCGTAGTAGAAACTTAAATTCATAGAAATATTATATATACTAAATATAAGTTTTACAAAATTTATAAAATTAATGCAATAATAAATATCGTTTACGAATTTAGTAAATAGTTCTTAAATACGAATTTTTTTTATACACAAATCTTTTTAAAATATTAATTAATTTGTATTTCTAAAATATCTATAACTATTATAAAAGTGTATGAGAATATACTTTTTCATACTCCACATTGATCAAATTATCATATATTAAAAAAAATGACAATGTTTAATAGCAACCAATGTATAATAATATTCACGATATTATTATGTATAATAATATACACAAATAATAACTAATACAAAAGTCTTCATGATTTTCTTCTAAGAAATAAATTCATTATATTTAAAAATTAAAAATCGTTTCTTTAAAAAAAAAAAAAAAATTGCATATATAATGAATGTAACTGAAATTCTTTATTGAATGCTTAAAAATTAATGTCCCCTAATATAATAGAGTATGTTTAAAAGCATATAAATTATAGGTATGCCATATCTTAGAATACATATTATTGTATAGAATACATATTATTATACAAAAATATATATGCTATTAAATATTATTATTATTGCCATAAGAGAGAAATGGATTTAAAAAGTTTTTAATTACTTGTGTCTATTTGTAATTTTCTGTATTTTATATCACTGTACAAGTCAAAATTAATTTTATTCTTTCAAATATAAAATATTCAATTTACGACATATACTGTAAATTTAATTTATAATTATTTTTTATCAAAATTTAATGTACTGACTAAAAATTATTTTATAATATTGTTAAATAATATATATGTATTTAATATATAGTCTTAACTAATTTAGAACATTAACATATAATAGAAGATACTTCGTATACAAATTTGTATTTTCATAAAGGACGTTTATTGAGCAATAATTACTATAATAATTAATATATGTATAATTATCAACAGTGAGTTATTTATTTCTATGTTAATTTGAATAATTATCATTTTTTCAGAAAACCAAAATTTATTTTTATTATATTTAAAGGTAAAAATGAAATATTAACTTATATGTTATACATTAAATAATATTTAATAACTTTACTCAAATACTAAAGTAATTGTAATATTGGATATTACGTTTCCTCATCTCTTATAAATGTATATTAACCATAATAAGAAATTTTGGTATCTCCTAGAATAGAAAAAAGAAAAAGAATTTAATTTAAGAAAAAATATACATACAAATATATATATAGAATAGATAACAGATTTATAATTAATTCCAATTTAAAAATTAGACAATATAAAATAATCTAGTTGAATAATTTTAGTGTTAAATAAATGTTGTATTGAAATTACCATTAATATGTCAATTCATATTAAAAGTTGATAAAATATTTAAACAATTTAACATTGTTAATGAATATGTTATAAGATGTATTATAAAATATATTCATTTTATATATTTAATTTTTTTTCATGAAATTGATTTTGATTTATATATGAATGTTAATTTATAAACATGTTTATTAAATATGCATTCTTAGTTTTAGATAATTGTGAAATCAATTATTCAACACTGATAGAATAATTTAGTTAATCGAGTAGTTTATTCAGTATTAGTTCGAATGTCAATCGGTATTTAGTTATTAATGAAGCTTAATAAACATAATTATTAGTAATAACGATAAGGATATAGCATTGAAAACCTTTTACAAACGTGAAACTATCTTTTATTTTTGGTACTTAAATTAAAAATTTGTATAATATTCTAAGTAGAAAAATTATTAGACAATAGTTAATTTAATTGCTAGTTAATTAATTTAATTAATTAATATACCAGAGGCAACAGACTTATTGGATTCTGTTGGAGATGATGGTGTGTAATCCATTTGAGGACTCAGAAAACCTGTTTCTGAAGAGCATACTGTAACAGTATAGTTGGGATTCGGGCTCAAAATTATACTTGATACTGGACTAGGACTTGCTTCGCCATGATCATAAGTTTCTTCAGGATCGTACAATGGACCAATAGATTGTGAATCTTGATACATTGGTGAAAATTCTGGTACGCTATCTTCATCTGTAGTAGTATCATTATATTCAATACTTCTAGCTGGAGTATTTAATACAGAGGGATCCCAAGCTCCACTTATTCCAGATAAACGTAATTCATCTTGAGATGGTGTTACCGAACCATAGTAGGGAGTTCGAGCTCCGTCTGAAACAATTTCATTCATTTTTTCTTCTATAAATTTATAATAATTTAGTTAACATGTGAAAGACATTTCTAATGTAAAACTTGACGATATTTTAGGCGTACTTGTTTAAAAAAAAGATACTTTTTTATCGCGATGAATTTCCATATTTATGAAAGTACTATTTTTTTACATTGTTCACAATTTTTCGAATTGTAATCGTCAAAAAAATAATATACGTACTGTCATACATAGGTGTCTGTGAGCCCTGCAAAGATGCTTTTGAATCCTCTTTAGACCCGTACATTGGCGTTCGAGCTCCTGGACAGTAGGTTGGTGTGTAATTATGAGTACTTGATTTGCCTACATTCGATTCTGTGGTGATTATATGAGACCGATCAACCGAAATTGTGTGGCATGGTGAATGCAGCTCAACCCGAACTGTACTTTCTGTAGCATCTTTTACAAAACCTATATTACCTTTATATGGGCCACCTGTTATCTTAATTGTCGTTCCAATTAATTTCTTGTCTCGAACGGGGCCAAAATTATTTAACCGAGTAGCGTTTTTACTTCTAAAAATATATAATAAATTTAACGAGTTTAAATAAAAACATTTATATTTATGTAAAGATTAACAAGAAAAATTAGATTATTATAGGATCAATCATTTTTATAAATACTGTATTTTAAAAATTACCAAATTTAAATTCGAATATTTTTATCATTTTTATCCATTTATTTTCTATAATTAATATATAAATTTATTATATAATATAATATATAATCTATTTATGTAGATTTTATACTACGTGTGGCTAATTTATTTCACACACACATATATATCAACGAAAAATATATTAATTTATCTATACGCGAATTTTAACCGAGATTAATTGTTCATTATACCATTTATAGAGAATCAAAGTTACAATTGGCAATTAAAGACAAATACTAAAATTTAAACTTTTTTCGCACAATATCAAATCATTGGAAATTTCTAAATTTCGCTTGTGATTTCAGAAATACCTTTCTCTTTTTAAAATAATTTATAAAAACAGAAAACACTGTTTTGGGAAGTTTATTATATTGACCAATTGCAGGCATTTTTCATAAAGTCCCTTAAGTCTTCTATACAACATATATTTTATAGCAATATTTATTTTTAATTATATAAATCTTAGTTTAAGCTTTAGGTATACTTATTAGTTACATACATTGTCCATAAAATATTTGATGAAATAAATAATTAACTTATTATAAATGAATGAAATATTATTAAATAATACAAATAAGTATCTACTTAATTACTCTTTTCTACTTAATTACTTTACTTAAAACATAATTACGATTCTTATAGAATATTTTCACTGAGAAATTATGATTAACGAATAACTTATATTTTTCTTAGATTTGAAAATTAAAAGTTGTAGAAATATAACTTAAATATATTATTACATTATCACATTATGTAAAACATTGAAATATAAAATAAATTATCAGAAATATACTTTTCTGAATATGAAGGTGAAGCATAAACTGGAGTATTGAATCCAATAGGGACACTCTTATTTCCTCCGACAAGTTGTAGATGTCTGGTTTTGCAAACAAATATTCCACCCGTTTCAATATATATTTTTGAATGCAAAAAAGCAAAGCTTCTATACAAGTGTTTTATCTCTCCATCTCGACCAGAATGGGGTCCATCAACTACCTTAACTATATCCTTTCTTGTAATTGATTCTTGAAACATATCCAGAGCAATGGTATGTTTATTCTCTCGGTATTTTATTAAACTTCCCGGCTTGACATCAACAAGTTTTCCATGCATCGATAAAACTTGAAAATCGGCACGTTGAAGTTGAATTATAACACCTACAGTTTGGGGTTCTAGCTGAACGAGATCACCCCATTGAAACTTACCAAAACTATCAACACCTGTTGCCATATCTGGACAAAGCTGCAAATTATCAGATAAAACTTCGAGTTCGTGCATTGATATGTCAGAGAACAGTATAATACGATCATTTTTAATTCGAACTATTAAACCTGTATCACCTATATATTCACCACCAACTACCTAGAAATAAATTACTTTCATAAACTTATATCGAAGTAGATTATTTTCACAACTTTTAATAAGCTTACTTTAACATGATTTCCAATACTAAAGTATTTTTTTAATTCATATGCCATAAAATCAATAGGATCTGTTAATTCTTTATGATTTGGCAAAATCATAATTGTGTTACCATCTATAGAAAGAATTTTGCCTTGTAAATGCATCAATTCACCTCGACAAACTTCTACATTATCACCAGTATAGAAATTGTGAGTAATTAATAAATCTTCTTTCCTACTAACAAATCCAGTAATGGGAGGATCACTTAACTCTATATTTATATTCTCTGGACTTTCTTCAAATTTTTCTATTTCTTCTATTGTAGGTTTTACACTTTCAGTTATTATACCATTTATTTTAAAGTTTTTATATAAATATCTAAACATTTTTTAATGTATATTATACATATGAAATTAATCATTTTTTTTTAATTTTATAGAATTAACATTCTATATATTAAAAGATATTACAATAATTTTAATAGAAGTATCAACGATACTTACCCTTTATGTGTATAATAATTTCCTTCAAAGATTAAATAATCTCCATTACTTGTCACTTCTCCACCAATTGCTCGAATAGCTTCTGCGTCAAATGGTTTTGCAAGTGGTCTTATACTTTTTTTACGCTTTTGACGTTCATTATTGTCTGTTGTTAATCTTAATGGACCACGCAGTTTAGAATAATCAATTCTGGGCAATAATTTCAAATGCACTTTATTTTGCCCTATGTCAACATAATCAATCTGGGCAATGTCATCTTTATATATTCCTCTTTTTATTCTCACCCACTGATTTGATCTTAAATTCACCTGGTTTCTTACTCTAAAAACGTCTGTCATTTCTTTAATCGGCACCATCATTTGTTGCCAAAAGCCCATTTTTAAACTACAAATATTTTCAATAGCTGCTTTTACATGAACTTGTTTAAAAGCCTCAATATAAATAAAACCTTTGATGCCTTTAGGTATAATAGCTGATTTAATGACTAAAGGATTGTCTAAAATAGATAGAAAATTAGAACAAATTTTTATTAAAGATGATTTTAATTGTTGAACTTGCCAGTATATTGATATGTAAGAAATTTTCGCATTAATAAAAGGATAGTGCTATTTTCTTCACCAATTTTACATTTGATTAACCAGAGATTAGGATCTTTAATATCCGGTAATAAATTTTGTTGGGTAATTTCATCATTCATTTGTTCAACTCCATCACCAAAATGATAAGATATTGCAGTTCCATTGGAATATTTGTTTTTAAGATATTTTTCAATTTCATCTTGTTTTTGCAAACTAAAATAGAATTTGGTTTTTTATTGCATATAATTATAAATTTTTATTAAAAAACGCTGTAATAACTTACTTCCATAAATCTGATACTCTTCTTCTACCTTCAATTTCTCTAGCAGTTGGTCCAACTTCATCAATTTGTTTCTCAATAATTCCAATCTCTTGTACTCCTTCTTCCCATTCTTCTTCATCATCAACATCATCATCAACTTCAGCTTCTTGTAGAATAAAATCACTACCTATTTTTTTGGATTTCTTCTTTTTTTTATTATTTTGTTGATATTCTTCATCAGTAGAACTATAGTCTATAATTGATTTAATAAAAAAAATTAAATTAATTTTATATTCTTAAAATTTTTTGTTTAATATAACTAAATATTTCATATTTTTTAATTATTGAAAATATAAAATTTTATAAATTTGTGTTTTTATAATGAATAAAATTCAAAATAAATGTTATACTTTGAGATATGTAACATATAGAATATAATTAAAAATTGTTATCTGAATTAATTGAAGTATTTTTAATACAATTATATTAGTATAAATTGAAACATGTATTAAAAAAATTATTTTAAATTGTTGAAGATTATGATTAATAAAAAACGACTCGGAAATAATTCTAATCCATACAAAATTTTTAAATTAAAAATTTAATATATTAATATACATATTAAATTTTACAAATGGTTTCTTTATAAAGACTTTTTAAAATTGTATACTTTAAAACAAACATTAAAAGTCTTACTGGAATTATCAGATGCTGCTGCTGCTGTAGCTTCAGCTTCATTATCAAATTCGATCACATTTTGTTTAAATTGTTCTTTTGATTGAAGAAGTTTTTCATCGCTGAAGTTAAATAAATAATTATAAAAAGGAGAAGTATTAAATAGTAATAAATGGCATAAATTAACATGCAGTATTACCACGAACTTGAACAATTTACAGACAACTGAGCAAACATTTTTTAAAACTATAAAAAAGGTTTTCTTCTCTACAGCAACGCACAATAATTTTATGAATATACTTAGAATACGCTTTTCAAATCAAACTGTAATAAAATCATTTGACTAAATCGAATATGTTTTGTTTTAGATTTGTGATCGGTAAACATTGTTGCCGTATATGTTACTTTTCAATTCGACCTTTCTAAGAAATGAGAAATGTTTTTCAAAAGAATCAAAATAGCACGTGTATATATGTACAAACTATAGATCGTAAAAGAGAAAGAATTAGATTTATATTCTAAAAATTACAAATGCTACTAATTTAGTTTTTATTCCACATTGCCAGTATAAACATTTTACGAACTACTAATCAATATAAACATCGACGAAATGATAAATAGAAAATTAATGGCATGTAAATATACATATACAGATATTTTTAATAAATATATTAGATAAGAATATTTCAACAAATTAAACTCCTTTAATCAGAAATATAATTCAACATAATTTACTGTATATTCTGAGAAAACATTATTATCTTACAAAATTAAAATATATAAACAAAGGCAAAATTATCAAATTATATTAAATCAACGGTTTTCAAATTTTCGCGCGTAAGAGTCCACAATAGGATACAATACCAGACAAAACAATGATCCCGCATAAATCTATATTATCGACAGCAATTTTATATATTGTTCATCGTTGTTAATTAGATTTGTATTGTTATTTTATAGATTTAGAATTTAGATAAGTTGATACATATAATTGAAATAATTTTAATACATGCTGTAAATGTAATATGTTCATCAAAGTTAAAAAACGTATTCTGTTAATGATGTAATTATTATTAGTACTTATGTAGTGAAACTAATAATCTCTGTAATTTAAAGAAGAATAAATAATTATTATGAATAATTAATAATTCTATGAGCGATATTTTATCATAATTATGTTGACTAATATAGTAAAATAATTCTCATTGTCACCATGCGGTGTCGCATGTGTTTAACACCATAAAACCGATTGGCGTTTCCCGTTATATCTGAAGTCCTTCAATTATTCGCCCCTTACAATTTAATAGTTATTTTTTTCAATCTCCTAATTGTTATTAACAATTAATTACAATCAATATAGTATTATTACTATTCGAATATTTAATCGATAGATCCACTTTTAATTTTATATATATAAGATGCAAGTTAATAAAAAAATAAAAGTTACAAAAGAATCTGTAGTCGATGATATTACTGATTCAATGCGTAAGTAAATATTAAAATTTGCTATAAAATATAATATTTATTATGTATTAAAATCCTATAAGAATATTTTTTGTTTCTATTTATTTGACTGAATTATGAAAGTAAATAAAGACTTAGCAGCAAATTTTTATCTTAATATGTTTGGTAAACATATCGTTGAATTTCATTCTATGTTTGATATTTTTAGTTGAAATTAACCAAACATTAAAGTCAATTGGAGAAATTCATTCTTCCCTGATAAAATTTAACCAAACTATTGTCGATTATTTACTTACAATTGATGAACAAAAGAAAAGTAAGCCTAGTCAAATAATTTTGATACAAGAAGAGACTCAAAATGTAGCATTATCTACTTCGGAAGTAAATGGAAATAAGTAATAGTAAGTAACCCAAATTTCATTCTGTAAGCTTAAATTAAAAAAGATAATTTCGTAACAATTATAAGACTACTTATCAACTTAATATTTATAAAATAAATAATTGATTTCAATTATTTTGATACAACTCTATTTAATACAAATCTATTTTATAAAATAGATTCACTACAATATTTAGTCTAATATTCGTATAAATATGAATCAAGATTATTTTATCAGTTACAAACAATTACTTCACTAAATTATTTTGGATTAACTTGCCAAAACAATTATGGATGGATAAAATTCTAGAATATTTTTCATGATGTTAAACAAACAGGTAATATTGGATATAAGTATGAAAATAATTATCAATACTTTAATAGTTAAATTTATTTGATTATTGTTTGTATTACACATTGTATTGTATAGATTATTATAACTATATTTTTAATATATATTAAGCCTTTGTAATTTTAAATACTGTTTATGAACAATGAACAATAATTCTGTATTATATGTAAAAGTATAAGAAAAGTTTGATTTTAATGCAATTAATTTATGAAATGAAATTATATTTTGTATATATAGGGTCAATATGATTCTTAAAAGAAAATTAATATTGTACCTAAGATTCTACTTTTGTCAATTTTTTATGATATATGTTTTATTTGTTGTCGATAGACTACTACCGTAATCGGTAGTTTTAATTATTCTAATATGTAAGTATTAATATTTATATTCATTAAATGATGCAATCTAAATATTTTTTAATTATATCTAATTCAAGATCATTGTTATGATGTTAAGATTATCTTTATTTATTACTAGTACTAAATAAATTTATTGAAATAGAAGGTAAAAATAATGTTAAATAATTTCTCTGGTTCTGGAAAAATTTTGAACTACAAATTACCAAGATTTGAAAGTACTTCAGTGTTTTAGTAAATAAAATTCACTAAAAAAAAAAGACCATAGAAGAACTTATTTAGATGATCTTGACTTTAAATATGAAATGTTCATTTTTTAAAAAAAAATATTGTACAATTAACAAATACAAATAAGATTGAACACTAAATAAATCAGATTAGTTTAGATTTTTCATCCTATACGAGGTCATCAAGTCAAAGAGAATGTAAATCAGTGGAGTCAAATGTCATTACTTTATGAGAGTCATTAATAAAATATGGAGAAGCGGAAGGTGAAATTGTATATTTCAAAAAGTTCCCTAAGCAAAGACAGTATTATAATTTTGAATTGTTTGCGATTCAATAGAAGAAAAATAAAAGAAGAGCATAAATAAAAATAGAATTCTAAAAAAAAAAAAAAATAAACAATATAAAAAAAATAGAAAAATAGATAAAAATAGAAAATAAGATTTAGATAATAATGCTTTTCATATAGCTATCATATTTTATACATTTAAATGATTGGAGTGATCGCAAGTTAGTTTCTAATGTGTGATGACTATTATGATTGTCATAAACTTTCATATTTAATTATTTTAATCATCTGATTATCTACATAGGTAAACGTCAATGCAAAATGCATTTATCTAAAAAATTAAATCTAAAAAAATAAAATTAATATAAATATTTCTAATTGAAATATATATTAAATTAAAAGTAAAAATTATTTTTTTGTTTATTAGTATCTAATATTTTATTGTACTTTTATTATTTTTATTTAATATCATACTAACATTTCACATTAGTATTAAAAAATATTGTTATCTAGTTAACATTACCATTGTAAATATTTTACATATTTTATTGATATGATATACAGAATTTAATTTAGGATTATATACTTGAAAATATACGTCTTATTGCAATAATAAACTTCAGGTATTTTTATGAAAATTGTCAGTTTTATATTTAATATCGATAAACATATAATACTAGATGAACAAATATAAATGTTTATATAAAGTAAATTTTTAATAGTACATTATTTAATAAGAAAGGAATATTTAAAAATTTCAAAAATATATGAATAAATTTAAACGTGCATTGTACTGAATAATTGTGATCTTCACCATTAAATTACTAAACTATGTTTGTATAAATTGATTGTATTAAAATAATTGAAAATGAGAAATAGTTACATAAGGTATGAGCTTGAAAATTAAAGGTATTTATATTTGTTTGTAGCTGAGTTTCAGCGACTCAGTCATGTATAATATTTCGATATTATTGTAACATACATATATAAAATTTATTTTTAATATATAATTTTTATGAATTGTATACAAATGTTATTAATATAATTATATTAAAATTCAATCGACGAACTGAAATTACAAATTTTTTTCATCAACGTTATTTTTGTTCCTATTTATTTACGAAGTGTATGTTTTATATTTCAGATTTGCATACGTTAAAATGTTCATTTATATTATTTCGAAGATATTTTTTAATTAATTAATTTACATAACAATAAATTATCAAACAAATACGGACATTTTAAAATACAAAAATTAATTTTTGCATAATTTTTAAATTTAAAATTTAAGTATTAATAATGCTTTAAAAATATTTTGTAATTTTGGAAGTTATTTTGAACACAATTTCCAATTAATATATTTATTTTAAAAATAATCTTCAACCAATTCAAGATGAAGTTTGAATTACTAAGAAACGTATGAAAATTTATATTAATATTATACAAAGTAAATAACTTATAATGAAATAATTCAGTCAAAGGAATTCCATTTATTTCAGATTTATGGAATTTAGAGATTTCTCGTTATATTATCAGTCAAACGAGGCGTTGTATAATATATATATTTGTGGGTAATTCATAAATCAATCATTTTAAACATTAAAATTTTAAATAAAATGTTATTGTATGTAGAAAACTTTGATCTTTATCAATATAAAATTTAGGAAATTCATTTTTTTATCCTTATTTATAATTTTTTAATTGTAATTTCTATTTCAGCAACAGTATATATCGATAAAAATAAATTTTTATTTTATTTAACGTTTTCTTTAATGCATATATAGTGTATATTTCTTTTTAATGGAGTTCAAATTTAAAATTTGGCACAATGATATTGTCATTGTTTATTTTTTAATAAAACTGTTACTTAGATTATTCCTACACAAATAATTTAATTTTTAATAAATAATTGTTGAAATATTTTATCCCAAAAAAATTAATTTATAATAAATGATATTATATCGGATACTATTTTATAATTTTGAAAGTAATGATAAAACCTTACTTGTAATAATTATAAATTTTACATCACATGAAATAAGATTATTTTTACATTGGGTATAAAAATTGTCTTTTATTATTTAAAAAAATGTTTTACACAATATTTTAATTTTCGATGAAACGCATATAATTTTCGTTTTCTTAAAGCTTCTTAATTTAAACAAATTTTGCAATTTAATAATAAAACTAATATTAATTTCTAGCTGTTGAATAATTTTCTGAAACAATTAAAATATTTTAAGAATTTAAAATTGCCAAATAAAAATTGATAAGTCAAATAAAATTGCCCTTGCTATTTGGAAGTTGAAAGAAAATTATAATTATAAATTTTAATATTAATTTTTATTTAAAAATCGAATCATTTTATACAAATTAGTGTTCATTATTATTAATCATCATTCTTAATATTATTAATTATTGTTATTATTAATTCTAAATTTTCATTCAAATGTAATTACAATTGCTCATAAATTATTATTATTATTATTATTATATTAAATATATATTAATTCTAGATAAATATCTTAATGTACAACGTAAAATATTAGTAATATTAATTAATAAAAAAAAACTTACTTATTAAAATGAGCCGTATCACAATAATTAAAATAAATAATTATAATCTACGAGCAATAATCTAAAATACTTCATTTACAAGAATTGTTACAGTAAGAAATTGGATCCTTTTTAATATGATATATAATATACTAAAGGATTAAGTACCCGACGCCAACGGATCAACTGTTCAGTCATAAATTATCGATCTAATAGTGAATTGCAACGTGATGTAATTATATCGCAGTGCGGTTAACGTTTCATAAAAAGCTTATATATTTAAATATTTACAAATGCAATTACTTGCTCAGTCTGGTATATTCTCATATGAGAGTGAACATAACTGAGTCCTTGTATATAACTGAGTTGCGATAAAATTTTATGCAATGTGAAATATATAACTCGAATACCTTTGGATATTTACACCTACATTCATTAGTTATAGTTGAATAATAAAAATGATTATTCGATTTACAGTTAAGAATATATTTGAAGATAAATTTTTTCATTATGTTAATGTACTAATAAATTTATACATTTGTCTTATTTGCATATTCTTTTTGGCGATACAATTATTTTTCATAAATATTGTTAATTATATTATAAGTACAATACATCGGAGGGAAAAATATTTCATAATAAATACAGAGCTTATTTATTTACTTCATAAATCTAAATAAAATAATATTAGTAGTCCATACTTTTATAATTGTACTTGTTTTTTAACAACATAGGAATATTAATATTTTTAAATATTTTGCGATTAGTATATATGTAATAGTAAATTTTAAATAAACGTGCCGCAGCAGAATAATCTTATGTATAATTTACAAATTTATGCATAAATGCAGCATTAACTTTAAAACAGCGATCACGAATAAATTAGTGGATAATTTGATTTAATTGAATACAATTTGAAGTGCGTTAAAGTACAAAATGATTTTTATAACATTTGTACAATAATTTGCATCAGTAGGTGTATCTCTTTGTACGTATAAAATTAGAATATATATCATAAAATCTGCTAAGAAACGCCATAAACGTTTATAATTGTATATATAACTATTTCCACTAAAAGGTAATAGTTTATGTATTCATTACGTTCAAAATCATTTAAATCGAGGTTCATCTTTATGTTTTCTTCTTGGATCACTAGCATCTAAGGTAACAATGACTGGTGGTGATTCTTTAGGTTTTCCAGGCTGCTTGTAGTTATAACCGGTTCTTTTCTCGTCGTCGAACCAATGTCTCGATAACGGCAGAATTTTGCAACTGAAATTGAATTATTAATAGTCCATGAAAATTTTAATCTCCGCTGTCTGTCAATGTATATATGATTTATCCCAGTATCTGTATGCACATTCATCCACTCGTATGATCTGTTAATCTCGCTTCTTAATTGCCATGCTTTTTTGGTTGACGGCATAAATAGGATATTATTCTTTTACTACTTGAATGGATGATAAAATATTTTTATTGTTTAAAGTTTCGATTCACGGATGTTCATTGATTTTTAATTGAAATAAATAAATATGCAAAAAACATACAGTATACTCGTCAAGCCTTAATTATTTATAATTTTTAAACAATCATTAATTAAAAATGCCATTATATGTTAGAGATATGATAAAAAAATACCTCTCCATGGATTTATTACCATTGTCTGAAATTTGAAAATGAAAAAGATCGTGCGATAAAGAAAAATTTTATATTGATTTAAATTCTTTTATTGTGCAGTGAAAATATTTATAAAATATTTTAAAGCAAGGAATTGAACACATACAATATGTATTTGTGTCGCGATTTACTATCGAGCCATTTGCAAAATATTAATCAATTATTTGCACTATAAAATTTGTTTAAATATCTTATAATCAACGACGACAACAACAACGACGATAAAGACAACAACAGCAATAATACAAATGTTTATTTAATTATAATTTTTAAAATATTTATTACAAAAATTTGAACAAACTATGTATAATATGATTTCATTTTTAATATTATTCTAAGATATATTAATTATTAACAGATTACAAACGATTTTATTATTTTTTCATATCTTTAGAGTGAGAGATTTGTCTGTAATATCGGTTCATTGTGTACTTGTTATTTTGTTACAAAAATTAAATCAATATAATGTTAATGAATGCGGTGCCAATTACACGTTAATTATTATATCGTTTAATTAATGATAATTTTTTATTTTTTATTTAAAATATAAGGAATAAAGCCAGTTTTTTTAATAAACTGACTCTTTAGTATGAATATTTATCTTAACGAGAATACTATATTATATTTTATATATTTATAAATATTTTCTATGTCAAAAATATTTGAAAACTGTTGAATTACGTTATAGTTTCTAAAATCAAATTAATACTTACAGAATTATAAAATATTCCCGATTCATATGTAAGTATATGCTAATATTTAGTATTTTTAATTCAATTATTTAAATTCCAAGATACGTCGATACATTTACTGAATTCTAATTAATTTAAAAAAATTAATTATTTTACATTAAAATATTATTTTATTAAATAAAACGTTTAAAATATTTAATATTATGTTTCTTTTATTATAATTTTTATTATATTTTTATTATTTTTTATTATATTTTATTAAATGTTATTATCTTTTATTAGAATTTATTATCGTTTATTATAGCATATTTACTTCATCGAAGCTCTCGCGTATAACTGCGACGAAATAAGAAATAAAAATGCAAATAAATGCATTATTTCATTAATTTTACTATTTAAATATATTTCTGAGATTGAAATTCAATTCGGAATAACGATCAATGTTTATGTTGAAATGTACAGGTTTCGTGACTATCTTATAAAAAAAAGAAAATAAATTAAAGATTCCCAACACCGTATTAAATAACGTTTTAATTAATAATAATAGAATAAATTAAGAATAGAATTTATGATAGTTAACAAATTAAAATGTATACGATCTTTATATTAATTCTATTTCAGATATTGCATAAATTTATGGTTTAGTTGTGATCCAAAATTTTTTCTAATGAGTCATTCGTAGAAATGAAAGGAACGTGCAAATTAATTTTACTTTGGTCATGCCATTACTATTTGTGAAAATATTCGATTGTAAAAATTTATTTGTACGAGTGCGTATGTGCATGCGCACGAATAAGATTATTTCATTTCTCGTGTTCACACCTGCATAGATTATGATCGAAGTAAAAGCCGGTAGAACATTCCTCGACATTACGACATTGACAGGAGCATTGGTCTGGATTCCAGTACTTTTTTTCGATGTGCTGACGACACTTATCCTCTTCATCTAATCTTTTGCAGATGCATCTACACTCATCCTTGTTGTAATACTGCTTATCAGTGCAGTCCTGTTTAACCATATTTTTATAATTAATATTTAAATCAGGTTAATGGTAACTAACTATAAATTTTAATATTACGAACATTGAATTTAACAATCAAATTTCATACATTTTTACAAAGCTTATAAGATAATTTTTATACAAGGCTTACTTTATCGTTAAAACAGTTAATTTCTATTAGATGCGTCCTCCTGAATGTAATATTAATTATTTCTATTATCATTACGTAATTACTTTAATTCAGAGTTTTGATTATGTTTCAGAAATTGAAATTTCAATGAATATACAAGGGAGATTGATAAAAAATACATTGTTTCCGAGTCTTAGCATTATTCTTTATTTTACATTATTAATAATAGTAGAGATGTAAATAGTTATATTATATATTTTACTAAAAATTACACAAGTATTTGTCATTTTTTATATAATCGATTTATATATGATTATATACATTTAATTTGCATGTGGCATATATTATTTTTAATAAATTTAATGTTTTATTTATAATTTAAATAATTTAAATTATTTAAATAAAAAATGAATATTATAAATATATCTTTCAGGCATTTTCAAAATACATTCGTGTCTAAATTTTATTCATAAATTTCATTGTATAATTATAATTCATACAGTGTGCAGATTCGTTAAACAAACAGCAAATAATTAAATATAATACCTAAAGTAATATATTAAATAAAGACACAATGGATTCTATTTATATTTAAAATATTGATTGAATCAAACCTTATAAAGCATTCGTAATTACTTTCAAAATATTATACCTTTTAGAAATTTTACATGGAAATAATGTGTGAAAAAGATAATGACCTGACGATCAAGAACATTTTTGGCATTAGTTTACAAGCTATTATAATGGTAATATTAAGTAATATTGTCAAATTATTTTTTATACTTTAAATTGGAAATAAATATGCATGGAATATGTATGCGAATAGAGAAAAGTGTCCACAAGTGTTCGAAAGTTTCTAGTAAAGCCAAATATTGAATAATTAAAAATAAAAAACAGTACTATAAATATGTCAATTAATATATCTGTATATATGTATATAATACATAGCTTTATGTATAAAATATTTGTTAAAATAACAAATTAACAGCAATCGATACATTATGCTTAATCAACAGATACTTAATAACTATATATTTTGAAAAGAATTCGTATTCAAATTTTTACTTTTGTTAGGAGTCCAAATTAAATTTTTTTTTAAATATTAATAATTACATAATTATGTAGTTATGAAATGTATAATTTACTATAAAAATAGCTCTTATAGTTTTAGGTACAGGAATATTTTTTAAGAAATGAAATTTTTATGATTACGTTCTAAATCTTAATTTGCAACTCTCATAGATAAAGATATACAATATTGAAAATATTGAAATGAATATGGAATGCAAATGTTCTTTTAATAAGATATTTCTTACATTTTCGTTTACTTTGCAACCGCAAAAGCATTCGGTATGTTCCTCTAATGGCACGATTTCCTTATACACATTGTATTGTGCTAAGTCTTCCGAAATTTTCGTCACGTGAATCTGAAATAATACGCAACAAGAGTTTGAATCAAACGTATTCTACATCTTTCATTGTGTTAATCGTTACTGAATTACGTAAATTACTTCTTAAATCTTTGTTACTTTTTATTAGCTTGTATAAATAAAAAAAATGTTTTACAACACGTACATGTATTATTGCACGCATACTACTTTTCGTTGAATCAAATTTGTAATCTATCGTCAATAGATAATAAGCTTTACGCTACCATAATTTATTATATATATTTTTTATACATTACGTTTTTATGTGCGGCCGTTGATTACTGTAGATAACTTTATAAAAGAAATACATATAGTATACAGGAATGTCGGAAGTACACGCGTATATATTCTTGATCTCGTGTAATTAATTTCTAATTAATATTCGATTCGGCGGTTTAAGGCCTTTTGAGACAATATTTATAATAATCCATTAAAATTCATTTATTAAAATTTTTTTATCAAAAATATAAAATATTGATATTATAGAAGGTCGGATGTTGCTCGATTGCTTTTCATTCGGGCTACCACGTAATTGATTGCAGAGCCGGTTAGAGGTAAGGTAAGAGTATAGGCGGGAAGTAACACCTGGTAATTATGTATCTCGGTAGCCGTGGGTTGGCAGGAGAGAAGTTCGTGATTGCAGCATCCGCCGCAGCGTTTGATGCGTATGCAGTTTGGGAAGTAAATTGCTCCTGGATCCGGATTTTCCTTTACCGGTACTACCTGCAGCTCTGGCATGCATATCGCTGGCTTTGGCTTTATCGGGCTAGATCGCTCCGCCCCGCCGAATCGATCTGTAACTGCTTTTCAAATAATATATTATCGCGGGATAATCGTTACTATTTTATCCGCGTGAGAGAAGGCTTGCCTTCTCGACCTTATTTTCGCCTCGTCCTGACTAATAATAAAGCTACTATTAGCGGCCACCGTCTTCGGTACCTTCAACACGAATCTAACTTTCTTGTAATCTAATTTTTTTATTGTTGTTATTTTGTAACACCTATATTCCTCGATGATCAAATATTTTTTACTTCCAATTATATTTTAATATTTAACTAATTCTGTTCAAATAAGAATTTCGAACAGTCAACTTTTTAAAATATTTCTATAAAATATGTTTTCATTATATTAGGCATTAAAGTATTTTAGCTTAAACATAAAAGTATTAATTAAAATATTTCTTATTTTATTTAAAGCAATTGCTTTATACTTAAATATAGTTTAGAATAAAATATTGTGAAGTATAGTATTTATATATATAAAGAATAATTTGTGCTTAATATTAGAAATTCATGGTTAACATTTTTTAGTACTTTTAAGATAAATGTAAATGAGATACATATAAAAATAAAAAACTAAAATAAAATAAAATAAGCTATTGTCTTAAATTTTAATTTGTTATCTAAATGGTATTATTTTACACTTTATTTTACACTATTATTTTAAAAATATTCGAAAATTATTACCGTTTAATGATATACTATCTATAAAAAATAAAATGTATATTTTCGAAATTATTGTAATATAAAATTTTCTTAATAATTATCATTGATCCAGTGTTAAATTTAATTTTTAAATATTAGTTTGAAAATAATTTCTTAATTAATCATTTTTTTACATTGTACATAACGAATTTGATATTATTATTTAGTAATTATCTAATAATTGTGGAGTTTGAATAATATTATATATTTTAAAAAGTATGCATTATTTAATTTTGTATTATTTCAAATTTTGGATTAAATATACTTAGTACTTTTAAGTATCTACAATAAAAAATAAAAGGTTGATATTGCAATGATCCAAAAATATTTCAAGATCATACCATTCACATTGCCCTTGATAATTGATTTTCCATTCAGGTTAGTTAACTAAATGAATAGAAATGCAGCTAATAATAATTTAAAATAAATACTTGATATTATCAACTATCATAATTCTTTGATTAAAAATTAGTAATCATAACTTAGGCATACTATTATTATTGAATTAAATAGTGAAATACATCAATTATTTACAATATCATTTTGATTTTATGTTACAGACAGGCCGATTGTATATAAATAAATACATTTGATGAATAATATTTGGAAATATTTTTATATACAAAATATCGAAATATATTTTGATATCTCGATGAACGATTATTACTTTATATAATCTAACTCATTTAATAAATTTGAATAATTAAATCTATATATATATGATTCAATTTTAAGTATTTATTAATTATTCTTTATACTTTAGTAATTTGAGGCGAAAGTATATATAACATAGTAAATAAGAAAAAATAAAGTACTTACGCCCAACCGAATAAGATAGTTCGTTTGGTGTAACTTTAATTAGTTTAAAAAATTCTTCATCCGACTGAATCATATTAATTTTCTTTGCTAATTCCAAAGACATCTGAAAACAAAATTAATAAATAATCAGTAAATTATAATGAAACCTTTAAAATTTATAATTTATATATTCAAATATGGATAAAAAAAGTTAAGCTTGCTTTTGATTTCGTATTTATTTTTCGTTACACATCAAAGTATATTGTTTATTACCATCGTACTATTTTACTAATTTTTTTATTCAATAATAATATTTGAATGTAAATATTGTACGAAATCAATATTTTATAAATATTCCACTGATTTTTTTTTTTTTTTTTTTTTTTAATAACATTTTTAATTGAACATAACGAATACTATAACTGCAATAATTAATTCATTTAAAAATAGAGTGTATTAATAAGATTAATAATAAATCGATAAATAAATAATATTAATCGATTTATTCATATGTAATAAATAACAAAATATATATGTAATTTTTTATTATACATATTTATATTTATGAATATATTTTTAAATATTCTGCAATATTATTAATAATTGATAATTGATTATTGATAATATTATTGATAATTGAATTAAAATATTAAAATATTTATCACCTATTTATACAATTGATTATATATTTTAGACAAATTCACAGAAAAGTCTATTTTATTATATTTGTTTACATTATGTTAAAAAAAATTTTCATTATATTTTTATTTTCTTAATTTATATTACGAAAATTTTATTATTTATTGTTACAGCGTTATCAACAATTAGTAATCAGCTTTTAATGAATTTTAAGGTCTATTAGACTGGCTTTTTTATAACACTTATAAACTTATAAAATGATTCGTGTATTAATAGTTGATTGATGTTTAGGATTAATTTGTATACATTTTAATATTAATGATTAATCGAATTATTATAGAATAATAAAGTTAATTGATTAATATAGTATTCAGATAGGACATATTGATGAAATTGTTTATAGTTGTCGCGTCTAATAAATATCTTATATATTTAATGTAGCAATTGAGTCATCATCTGACATACCTTATCAAAGAAGTATTATTCCTTTTATTATACTTTACACGTTATCATTTTCTATTATAATTAACAATATTTGAAATAATGACTCATAAGTGTTTGAATTTAAAAAATCGATTTGCTGAATACCCACATCCGAACTATTACGTGAAATTAAAGTTCAAATTAATGAAATGTTTATACGTTTACATAAGGCTTATTAAAACAGCAGGTAATAATTTACATTTGAATTTCAATTTAATTTTAATAATATCTATCAACATTCCTATTTGTTTTATAATTACATTAAAAATTTTATATAAAAATAATGTTTGAGATTGTAAAATTTTCTTGATACAGCATAACTTTTACAGCAGGTATGTAAATGCCAAAATATATGTCTATTTTTTCTAGAGATATAGATAGATGGTGCCTAAGAATGAACAAATATCATAATAGATACGACGAATTAACAAAATTTCATTATGAAAAATGAATTTCAAAAGTCTGACATCTAGCAAAGAAGCTACGAATGCATAACATATATCCACTTGTGCACAGATCAGCATTAAAAACTCAATTCTTTTGGCACGCAATTGATTACGAAAGAGTTGTCATCCGAATTTTCCACTTGGACTTAGATGCAAGTAAAGAAACGCGTTGCTAACGAGGATAAATTAAGTACGTTCAATGAATAATAAATAAAGGGCAAAGATTGAAAATTAAGTAACGAAAGAAAATGTACAAGTTATGTGATTGATGCAACAATGCAGGAATCTCTTGATTTTGCACTCCTGGCCATGCGTATGTATGCCAAATGTTGTTAAGTGTTTAATTGATATGCAATATCGGCGTTCGCATTACCTTTTCCGTCTGGATTCTATGCAGAGGTCTACCGTGTCCATGAAGGTCGATGTAGTAAGACAATAATGTCGAGGATATGAGACAGCGTTGATATTAAGCGTCGTACTACAAAGTCGCTTCGAGAAGGGAAAAACAATGGGTAGAAGAGTAGAATTATATTGCATGTTTTAAGCTGATCAAGACAAGAATAATAATAGTGCACAAATTCGAAAGTTGAGGAGTTGCGACTTGTTTTTTGATAAGGGAGTTGTCGTGATATAAGTGAATTGTTGACAGTTTGTAATGCTTTTGATGAATTTTATTAAAGAATGCCGTATGGTGATGGAGTTCATTTTCCTCTACTAGTTCGGTTTTTGTATCAGTTCCACGCTCTTTAGACATTTTACTGATTTGTAGAGATTATTTTATTTTATGTTATTTATTGATAAAAGACATACAGTTTTTTTTCAATAATTTTTTTTGCAACAAAAACTTGTATCTATTGTATTATAAATAGTTAAGTTTCAGGAATGCATTAAAATTAATAAAAATATTGTACATAAAAATTCTTCCTGTAAAAATTTTCAATATTCTTTTATTTGTGAATTCTGTACTATTTTTTATTTATAATATAAACAATTTATTAATACCTGCATCATATTGTAATATAATTCAGAAAGTATAATTATATTTTTAAATTATATTTTTATAAAAATTATGATTGATGTAGTTGTAAAAATCTCTTAAATATTATATGTAATATTGCATTAAAAAATATCTCAATTACGAAATTTCCTACACAAAGTTAATTTGTGTTTCATCAATTTTTCAAAAAATTATATATTTTTTTATTACTTAAATTTTAAAGTAAAAATAAAATATTTACATCGTTTACTTAATTTTCTTTTTTTTTTTAAATATAAAAATCGTACTTCATACTTGCAAGAGTAAAAGAAAAGTTTTTTTAAAAGCAAGATATATTCGATAAAAATGTAAAGTTGCTTATTAGAATACCAAAATTTATAAATAATTTATCTAACTTAATATGTGAATTATATGAATTTTACCACAAGATATATATCGTTTGATTTAAAATATTATAACTTATATAAAGTTAATTCGGCAAAATAATTATATTTTGATGACTCCAAATCCTTTGAAGAAGTCAAAGTTTAAAATTTTTAACGTTCATTTAATACACACATCTATATGTAATACTATGTGTAATTCTTTAATATATGTATACATATACATCTACATTGTAAATTAAGTATTTATTATATTGATTTTTAAGTATTTATTGTTATAATTAACAGAAAACTGTTTTGATGTACAGACAATGTGTGAAATTTTTATCACAGTAAAATAATCGAATATAGAAATGATAAGATGTGCAGTACACTACTGTATGGTTCAATTATAATATTTCTATATATTATTATATACTACGAATTCTATATTTATTAAATTATCTTTTTTATCTTTATTAATTATCTTTATTAAACTATCTTTGCGTACGATATGATGTTAGTATGTTAGTATATTAATATTTACTTTTATTAATAAAGTTTTTACAGAATATGATTATGATAAAATAAATTTATTAATTTCTACAATAATAATGTACAATTGAAATAACAAGTAAGTAAAATATGAAAATATACGAAAATAAATATTTTTGAAATAAATTTTATTCTACATATACATATATGCATGTATGTGCAAGTGCCTATGACAAGTGAAATGTTAAATGTTAAAAACCTTGAAATATAATCACAAAGACAGTATGAGAAAACAGAAGTACATCTAAGATTTTAATGTAAATGATTCTTTTGCGTGTAAGACTATTAATTAAAAAGTATTATTAGATAATGTATGGTACGAACATTGATAATACACCAATATTTTTAGAAGTTACGGAATAGTAAAACGAAAATTATCATTAAATAGTTTATTACACGATGACGAGATAAGAGCAAATTTTCCTTTTCTACTTAAACAAAGCTTTACCTTGTTTTATATCATAATGACAGATAGAGAACTTTGTGGTTATATTTTTTCTTTATAGTAAAGTATTAATGACATTTTTGTATAATTTCCAAGTATAAGCAAGAAATTTACAAAATTTATTCCACATTATATTTCGATAAAGTCGTTTTAACGTCGACGATATCAAGTAATATTTTTTTTTATTATTTTTAAATAAAAATAATTTTTAATATAATTATAAAATTATATAAATGCAATTAATAAAAATTACATTCCTTAATTAAAATAACTTTTAATTCTATAAAAACAATGTATTTAAATATATAAATTATATCTAAAAATATTAAATCGAAAAATAATGTCCATATCTAATATTTATCTCACGCAAGTGTTTAGATTAAACTACAATATCTTCATTAAAGATTATTTGTACAGTTGTTTCGAACAGAGTAAACAATGTTTTTTGATGAGAAAGAAACAGTAGAATAATCATACAAAATTTTAAGAATAAATTACAACTTTTACTATTATGCATGTATACGTTATTTTAATTTATGATTCCTAGTGTAAGCAAATATATTTTTTATTGAAGCGAATTTCATCTATTCTATTATTTTACGGGAATATATTTTTAATGGAGTTATTTCAATTTCTAATAACTGAAAGTTTAATTATCCTTATTAGTCTTCTATTAAAACAATATATATTTCTTTTCAAGGTAGTTAACTCAATCATTAATAGCACACTGCACCATAGAAATATTACTTTATATTCAATTTCACTATGTGTTTCAAATAAGATTACAAATTATGAAAAAATAATCATCCTCGAAATATTTTTTTAGGAATTTTATTTTTAAAATTTATATTTCTTATATTTTAAACTTCTTATAATTTCTATAATTATATTTATATACAATAATCTAATTGGCTAATTTCAATTCACTTGAGATCTGCTTGTATAATCCATGCTTAAGATTATTATAACTTATAGCAATTTATCACATATTGTTATTATTATTTTAATATCATTAATTAAAAATATGTTCTTTTATAAAATTATTATTTTATTTGTATTTGGTACAGAAATATATTAGTAATAATCGTAAATTAATTATATATTCAATCTAATATGTGTATATTCACACGCGTCCCTGTATAATTATAATACATAATAAAATAGGGTCAATTATAACTGAATTTAAAATCAGTAAAA